TGGAAAGCTTCTAGCAAACACCCCCCCCCCCCCCCCCAATCGACTGGAGACACGATTTCAGAACAAGCGCGTTCGTTTTCGTACATGGGAAAAGGTTTCAAGCTCCATTAATAAACTGAGCTCAATTTTACCACAATAGTCCGAGATTATCAGATAATTGTCTACACTTACAGAGCATCAAAGGAATTTGAATTTTGTGGACAATGTGGCGTATCTAATGACGACAGCATTAAAACAAATACTTTCTAATTTCAAAAAAGAGCTCATGGCTTTTCATTGTTTAATCCGAAATCAGATTTAACTTTTGCATGTTTACACAAATTGAATTCTCTGAGATTTAATCAAATAAAAATGCTTTATTTTATATTTCATCTAGCAACGATTAATTTTCGACAATGTGGTAATCTGTGAAATATGAATGTTTTTAGTTGTTGCAATTTTTCTGTGAAAACAGGTCTTTCACATTATGTGAGATGAATATGGCGAAAATTTCTTTTCCCCAAAAATGTAATTCCTTCTACGCGATACGCTTTTTGTAAGAATACATTTTGAAATAATTTTTAATTAATAGTGGCGCCTGAATATTGATAGATTGTCTCATAATTTGGGTCTATGTTAAAAAATACTATTATAAAACTTTTGCATGTATTAGATGATACTGAGAACCAGACGTCTTGTTTAAATATCATGACTCATTTCCAGACACAAAAAGGCGAAGTTTAAATAGAGACGCGTAGCTATGTTAGAAATTGGTAATTGAGGCGAATAAGTATATTTCAATAGTACTGATTTCCCATTTTAGGAATTAACCAATGAATTAATGTCATTACCAAGCAACTCCGATTCATGGGTTTATTTTTCCCTAAAGAATCGAATTTTCATTCCAAGTCAATCGTGCTCAACATTTCCTAAAGCAGCAGTTAATACTTTAAGTGAAATGTTGCTGATATGTGAAGTACATTTTCGAGTTAAAAACTATTTAATTAAGTTCTAAGGAGTTCAATATATCCTTTGAAATTCAAAATTATTCCACTTAATCTAACATGAGCCACTTATAGTAGAAGGAAAAACACAAGTATTTCCGTTAGCAATTAGAGCATGACCAATATCCGGTAATCAAAGCAACCGCGCAAGATCTACAATTGAGCCAATCAAATAGCTGCGCTCTAGACGCGTCAGCGAATGAACGGTGAGATTCTGAGCGATTGAGCAAACCTCAACTCAGCGTAGGCGTTTTGAGGTGAATATAAAAGGCAGGCGTAGCCGTTTATAATCGGTTAGGGTGTCGACTGTTAGGACAGGTGAGTCCAAAAGTTTGGAAAAGTTTTCAACATTTTTGTTATTTCAACATACTTAGACTCTAAAATTGGTATCTAATTAACTGTTACTAATACACTCTGTCGCCTTTACTGAAATGTCAAATTCCACACACAGAATCTTATCTTTAAAAGCTTAATTTTTGTATAAGAAGCTATTAATAATTAATGAAAACAAATTAATAGATACCAGTCTTTATTAATATGGTTATACGACTAAATTACTCTTTTGCAAATCACGAGTACCAAATAAGTAGACTTTTAAGATGCAGATAACTTTAATTTTTTGGTGATTGTTTTAAAAAATACTACCAATTTCTGCATTGCGCGTTTAATTTAGTTTTTAGCCATTAAAAATATTTGGAAAGGAATGTTTTAAAAAATTCTTTAATTTAATGACATACGAAAGCTCATCCTTCCCAACACTTCGATTTGAATACATCAGCATTCCATTCAATCAACTTACTTTCTTGGCTATTTTAGGACCCCAACCCAAAATTATGCTCCCAAAGGCAGTCGAACAAACCGCCTTCCACCACCAATCCAGGGTTGAGCTTGAAAGCACCATAACCCATGAACCAATCGTCATCAAAGAGCTGTGAACTGTAAACATGCAGATGCAAAATTAAAAATAGGGCAAGCCTCTCAGATTTCCGTCCAGAACATCACCAAGTAACCAGCGCATATCACATCTGCTTTGCAGACATGCCTTATTTGAATTCAATTAAATGAAACACAGTACCAAGTTTTAGGTATTTTATGATGGAAATAAAATTATTGTTATTTTACAAAAATCTCCCTTTTGATTGCCTAATCTGTAGAGGAAATAGAAACAGCGGAGTTGTTTGCAAAATAAGGGTATTGAAATTTTCAAACTTAATTGGTTAAAATAAATTTAAATTTGACATGGCATAGACTACTCGAAGAACATTAATTTGATGGATTAACGAATAAGCGGGTTTCGCTGTTTCTCTAGGTACAAAAATAAAATGCATTTGCAGTAAATGGTGAACATAGTGGAGTACGCAAGTCTAACACGATTAAGCTACGCAATCTTATGCGCACACGAACATTCTGGAGGATACGGTAGCGGATTGCTACGCTAGTAAAGCCTGACCGACTCAGAAATCTCTATGGCAGATTCTCCAACATCTAGCTAGACTCCCAGAACAAGCTAAGCTATAGCCCAGCTATAAGGGAAACAGACGTGTAGCACGGAACACGTTTATTCAGTACGTATATTGAAAGCGAATTGTCCTTTTGGCAAAGCGATTAGTTATCAGATAAATCTAGCATAATTCACGTGAACATTAATAGCTAAATATCTCTGAGTAGTGTTCTGTAGCAGGATTTCTATTGGTCATTGATGAAGTGTCCCACAATACGATTGTGAATGGAGAGGATGTCACAACTAATCAGCCCTTAATGTTTCCTTTATCTTATTTTTGAGAGAGTTTAAGTAATTCCGGGAGCCTCTCCATATGGAGATATTTTATTATAGTGCGCATTAAGTTTTATTCATCTAGCACTCAGATGCAACCTACCGTTAAGGGGTTGATTGTATCAAAATCATCCTATCTGCTTGGTATAACAAAAGTATAGATTACTTAGCATTCTAAGTTAGCATGAAACATTAACGATAGCATACATTTCAATTGCAAAAAGAACCAATTGGGAATACGTGGGGAAGTTAATAATTTTCAAACTGAAATCTGTTAAAGGTCAATGCTATTGAAGATGATAATTTACATGAATATTGTGAACTGGTAATTGGTTATATTTTTATCACTCTTTTACGTGGTACTTTGGCTAAAAGTTCTTGCTTTATCTTTACCTTATTCCTTTCAAACATGTAATAACTTGAATACTACTGAACGCATATCTGCATTTTTTAATTTTAAAATTCTCTACAACATCCCCGATCTCATTCAACGTGATCTTCATTGCGTATATGAGGGAGCTGAATGAGAGAGATATTTTAGTTGAAGTGTAGGATCGTAAACAGTTTTATCGCCTGATTATGAATTAGCGAACGTAACTTCCCGACAGTTCAACAAACGATTAAGTAAGCATTTTAACATTTTCACGGTTACCCCTACACTCTTCCGAAATAAATTACAACGCGATTAAAATTTGATGTGCTTATCTCTTTGTAATTATTATAAAATCATATTTACAAGTCCTCTATTGAATAAAAATCTAGAATAGTGAAAACTAAGACAAGGGAATAATAAGTATAATGGTATTTAGGGAAGTAATCTTCTGTGAATAGCGGAACAATATCCATTTCAATATTCAGGATAACAAAAAGGAAATAGCTGAAATCATTTTTAAAATGAAAATTCAGCAACTGTTCTCTTAAATCGAAATAAATAATGCTTAAAACATTGCTATATTAATAAAATTCGCACATACAAATGAATTAATTCTCAATTAAAAATATTTATTTAGATTTCGATGCACATATTTATTGAGAAGGGACACTTAGAAATGCATGAATGATTCATTCCAAGATATACATACAAATACTTATTAATCAATACATTAATTTCTTAACATAAATCGATTTTTCAGGCTACAATACGATTTATTTTCTCCTTTAGGCTTATTAACATATTTACGCCAAGTGAATATTTCAATTAAAGAAAAATTTTGAGCGACAATTCCAGTCGCAGATATCTAAAGCATTATTAATTTGTAAAGAAGCTGATTTCAATTAACAAAATGTCCAGGTTTATAATGATATGAGAGAATTTCATAATGATGTTGATGTATATTACTTCTTTACGTCGTAATAATATATATTTGAACAATAGGAAATCGAATTTTGAGATAACGACTGATTGATCATATTTAGAATAAAAAAGTCGAAGAGTTTTTATTTTAATGGAAATATAATTGTTCAAAACGGCAGAGATAAAAATCACGGTGTAATATTTATGGCCTTGACTATTTAATTTGCATTAGCAACGCTGCGATTATTTAAAACCAATGCACTGATGTTTCCAGCTGATTAAAATCATTGACATTTAAAAGTAAATTAAATAAAACAACAGTTTTATGTTTAAATTTTTAAAAAATCATAATTATTGGCTTGAATTCTCTTATTCCGATGATTGATTAATCTGGATTTAGTAAGAATGCAATAAAATTTTAAGGAGACTACGTTTAATTTTTTAAAATATATAAATAAAATTTCAGTGAAAATCATTAGTGCTTTTTGAAATTATCGATATCTAGTATGAGTACATTCTATGACAACATATTAAACCCTTAATATGTTTGCTTAAAGTAACAGAGAAGGCAGTAATATGAGCTCTAAACAGTGTTTTATAATTTTTGATTAGCTTTATTCAGGATAGTTAACTTTGATTTATCTAAATCTTCTATGAACTTGACTTTCTCTTACGTATAACCACCTTCCGTACAAATAAACAGGGACCTTTTTTTTATTTTCCCGGACAAATTTCTGTACGTTTACTATTGTCCAAATAAATATGCTAATATTTTTGATGCAGCTTTTTGCACATTGGAACTATTAATCAATCACTAGATTTATATTTAGCTATGTATGATCTTAAATGGTCATAAACATTATGTACTGCGAATTAAAAAATCAAATACCTTATAATCTTTACAAATTACTCTTCCAATTTATTTGAGGTAAATCATTTTTCATTTCAGATGGACGATTTCACTCGAAATCTTTATTTTGATATAAATAACGACCCAGATAAAGGACTCAGTGTTGATTCTGCAAATTATGAAGAGAGAATCCTTGCAAGACGAATCAGAATTGCTGAAAGAATAGCTTCCCAACAGTAATTTAAAGATAAAGTTTATCATATCTATGGCTTTGATTCTTCTTGAAATCCACGTATAAAAGTTGTCCCACTAATTATAGACCTGGCTACTTTGACGAAAAACTCTCCAACGCCGATTCAGAGGATGATGGATTAATCAAAGCACAAATTACAGAGAGTGTACGAAGCATTGCCAACCAATTCCAGAATAGCAATGACTTTATTACCAACATCAGAGTAGCCTGTGATGCAAGAGAAAGCCTTCGACGCACCGAAGAGGAGAAATTGGACAGTGAAAGAGATGCCAAATTTGAATCTACTCGAAGTACTACCGAGAAGCTTTTCGAGGAAGTATGTAGCTTGCCCATGTGGAACAGCTATTCTCGACAAGCGAATATAATGTACTAATAAGCTATTGCGACGCTATATAAATGTAAAAGGAAATTAACTAAGAAACCATTAAAGTATAATACACGTTTTAGAAAGTGAATGAACTTTATTGCATAGACATTTACGTCACTACGTACTTTCAAACTCGGTAAAGTTGAGGACTGCAACGCTGATGTTCATGGATTCAAACCCAAAGTTAGAAACCGCATTAATTGAAAACTCATGCTATTCCGTACTGGACTCAGATGATAAATTGGATTGTTCCGAGAAGCGACTTTAAAACGTCTTCTGTACATAGAAATCAAAATTTATTAATGAAAATTAAATTAGCACATGTAAGGCCAGGGATTGCTAGCTGTAATATGTAACAATGGGCTTATCTGTCTTAATCTAACTTTTTATTAAAGAAATAGTGTTTAACAGGATTTAGTCCAATTCAGTGCTTACTTTTAATTACCAGTTATATTAAAAGACTGTCTTTTTCACAATTCTAGGCCCAAAGTAAATGGAAATTCGCCGACTACACCGTAGAACCCCACGATCTTCGTAATGTGAGATAATATAAAATAAATAGAAAAAGAACCACAAATATAAAACATCTAAAATAACTTATGCTTTCTATTTCCACATTTTAGTTATTTGAAGATTTGAAAAATAATTGCGCCAAGATAATTGAAGAAAAGAACAAATTGATAGGCGATATTCAGTTGGTTTGTTTAAACTACGATCGTTTCAATGTTTTTTACTTGAATAAAATTTATATATATATATATATATATATATATATATATATATGTATATATATAT